TAAATGTCATAATGAACTGGATAAATTCCACCGATCTATAAAATAACCTAACAGAAGATAAAGATGCAAAAAGTCCAAATTCTACATTTATAATAGAAATGTTCTCTTAAAGCCTAACGAGATTGTCACTAAAATTCACATGCTATATATAACTCAATATATAGTCTGATTCTGCCATGATCATCATGGACTAACACTCTAAAACTTTAAGCCAGCCCCCAATTGAATATTTGCTTTTATAAGAGTTGACTTGGTCATGGTGCCTCTTCACAGCAAAGGAACAGCAACTAAGACTCATTCATTATTGAATATTCTTATATTTGGTAACTAAGCAGTTCATGTCTGGTATGTCACTATATCTACAAGTCAATGAAAGGAAGCACAGGGGAATACATTAATGGATGACTTTTAGTGTTTTCAACTGCAAATAGCCCCATAACTTTGATAAGCAAATCATACACTTTTGCTTTTGAGTGTTCAATTCTAAATAGAGACTGATTTCAGTCAAAGATTGTTCAAAGTAAAATCACAAACAAAACTGAAAAAGTAGAATATTCTTTATTAACCTCCTTGAAACCTTGCAAAATACTTGAAGGTTTTGCACTAATACCAAGGAATATGTGAACCTGTGGAGCTGAAAATGAGCACTGTGTTCATCAATCCAGACATGTCATTATGGAAAAGAAAACAGAATCAGATCAATTATATCATATCAATAGCAGAATTCTATGAGGTTTTCCATGCTCCTTTCAAGGAAGAAAAGATTTTTCTTTTCTTTGGTTTTTCGAGACAGGGTTTCTATGTATTGTTTTGGAAGCTGTCCTGGAACTTGCTCTGTAGATCAGGCTGGCCTCAAACTCACAGAGATCTGCCTGCCTCTGCCTCCTGAGTGCTGGGATTAAAGGTATGTGCCACCAACGCCCAGCAGAAAAGAGTTTTCTATTATTTGTGATTCACTATTTTCCCACAAGAAGGGTATTTCTTCAACTGTTACAATATGTGAATATATAATTAACATAATTATTTGAATCTATGTTTCTTATGCTGCTGCTTTTGGACTCTTGGGTATCATTGGGATTAGTATCAGTAATTTGAGAGTTACTGAATTACATAAAAAAGGGCATTCAGGAGAACCATTAACACTCTTTAACAATATGTAATTGTAGGTGAATGTTCCTTGTGGATTTCTGGGGGCCCCTCAGATAGTCCAAGCTTCACAACTAATTCCCCCTTATGGAAGGCCTATTTCAGTCCCATGGGACTTGTTTGGGATGCTGTCACTGCTATCTTTTGTTCTCAAGTGTTTTTCTGTGCGACAGTGAACATACTGAAGTAGTGGAGGTCTTTGAAAGATGGCCTGTAGTAGAAGAAATGGCTCTACACAAAAGAGTCTGGACTTACTTAAGGCAAGGTATCACATAGGCATCACTGTTAATGTATGATGGTCTGTCCTAGGTAACATTTTTAATAAATTTCTGTATTTATTCTGGATCATATCAAAATTTACCAGGCTCAGCCTGATTAAAAATAACTTAAATGAAGGTGCTCACATTGGGGAACATGTGACCTACAATGGAGACAGGATTCACATCTAACCCTGGAACTAGAACAATGGCAGTACATAAAGTATTTGTTGCAAGAGTACGAGTCATGGAGCTCAGATCCCAACTCCTAAGACAAAACTCAGGTACAGCACCACACATTTGTAACCCCAGCACTTTGGCAAAACAGGTAGATGCTGGGATTTATCTGCTAGCCATTTTCCCTGAAAGGTGAACTTCTGGGTTCAATAGGAATCTTTGCCTCCAGAATTAGGTAGAGAGTCATCTGATACTAACCTCTAGTCTCCAAACACACAGGCACTGGTTATTACACAAATACACACACACACACACACACACACACACACACACACACACCAGAATAACTTCTGACTTTGAGAAAAATACCTTTAGGCAACTAAAAGTTGGGGTGATATATTTAAAGTATTAAAAGAAAGAAAGAATGAGTGAATGAATGAAAAGTCAGCCAAACTAAAATTCTGTAATTTATAATTTATCTCTGAACATGAAGAGTAATGAAAATAGTCTCTGATCTACAAAAGATGTTGGAATCTGTGGCCATTACACCTACCTCCCAAGAACTCTTAAGAGACAGAGACAAAATGATACATGTCATAAAATAATTTTAAATTATTCAAATACATTTTAATGATTTCAATTCAATACAGCTGAAAATTTAGTGCTAATTATGTAGCATTTTCTGCCTAATTCCAGAGTACAAGTTTGGAGGTGGCTTCTGGGCATCATATCCTCCTAGTAAGCAATCAGCTTATTAAGTAAGATGACTGCTAGTGTCTTGGCAGGAGGTGGGAAAGACAATGATCATTGTAGCATCTGACTAAAGAAGAAATACCAAATGCAACTAAGCAAGTAGCTACAGATATTAGTAAAATAATAAAAAAACAATGAATGAAATAAAATTTAAATAATTATAGTTCATCTCACCAGAGACAATTTGTTTCAAAATTATAAGCAATAACTAACTGCTTGCATGTGGCAGTACATGTATACAGTAATGTAACAAATGTAAATATAAGTGAGCATATATGTCTGCATGGATAAGTGAGTATATGACAGAAATGTCCAGAGTCAGGAATTGAGAGTGTTTTAGGGAAATTCAACTTCAAGGCATTCCAAGGAACAGATTTGAGCAAAGGAAGATTAACATTTGAGAATTTCACAGAGAAATCATTAATGTGAGTTTATGAATAAAATAAAAAAATTGACTTTTTCAATCTTACATGGTATTGCATTGCCCACAAGAGAGGATAATTTGAGATGAAAGTGAAGATGAATTAATTTTAAATGTATATTATAAACATAGTGAGCATTAAAACCAACCTTTGAACAAGCAAGTATAAGCAGCATGTTACAGTTGACAGAATGGATTCATATAAAGTGGCTATGAACCAAACATGGTAGGAGAGATGGGGTTGGCAAAAATGTGATCAAATAACACAGAGAAGAAAAACAAAAATAACAGACCTGGTAAATATTGGTCCAAAAAATAGCAGTTATAATCTTACAATTTGTGATTTTTAAAATCATCACTGAAAAGAGACAGTCAAGGCTGACTAAATACTAAATCTTAGCCTCTCTTGTCTATGCTAATCATATTTAATATATGACCACACATATGTACTTAAAATAGACAGATGGATAGGCCAGACAGGGTAATCTGCTGATATTGATAAAGGTGCCTGCCACCAAATCTGATGACCATAGAGTATCATCCCCGAGGCCCCCAGAGAGAAGAAGAGAACTCACCCAACTGACTCTTCCATCCTGTCCTCTGATTGCCATATTAGCACAGTATAATACCTTGTCCAAATGCACACACACATACTAAATAATTAATAAACAAATAAATAAGGATATTAAAAAATAAAGGCTGTTATCATCAGAGAAGCTTTCTCCTGCAGCAGATGAGAACAATAAAGGGACCCACAGTCAGACATTATGCAGAGAGTGAGAGACTTTGGAATACTCACCTCTGAATGGGATATCTCTATCAATTCCCCCCCAGAGTACATGGAATACTCTAAATCACCCCAACAAAGACTGTAAGAGCCGGAGAACATGGAAGGTACAAGGAGAACAAGACCCTCTAACTCAACATGAGCAACACTCATATGAACTCACAGAGACTGAATCAGCATGTACAGGGCTGACAAAGGTTTGCACCAGGTCCTCTGTGTATATAGTATGGCTTCCAGTTTAGTGCTTTCATGGGATTCCTCCTTTGTGTGCAAATGAGTAGGTCTCTGATTGTTGTGCCTTCTCTTGGGCGCTTTCCTTTCTTTTGTTTTTTTTTTCTTCTGTCCAGCTTGGGTGTGATTTTTAATATATTTTGTTGTATTTAAAAATAATTCTACATATATGTGGATTTTAGAAAGGATTACGAACCAATTGTAATTCAATTTTTATAATTGGTGTCTATGTGGTAGCCTTTGGAAATATAAACTATAGGCAGGGAATATTATAATCAAGACACAGTATATGAGAAAAGCATCTATTTTCAATGAAAGGAAAAAAGTTAGCAAAAGAAGAATGTATAAAAGAAAAGAAGAAAGGAAAGAGAAAGAAAAACTAGGCATGCTACTTATTGATGAAAGTTCTTCAATGGATTTAGTTAGGACGAATAAACTCTAACATAAGATATGAAAAAAACAAATAAAGGAAGGAAGAAAGGCAGAAAGGAAGGAAGGAAATAAGGAATGTGGAAGGCAGGAAGGAAGCAAGGAAGGAGAGAGAAAATAAATGAGGAAAAGAAGGAAGAAGGAAGGAAGGAAGAAAGGGAGGGAGGAAGGAAGGAGGGCCTGCCTATGACATTTCCCTCCCTAATGTGCATTGCTGTTAGAATGGATAAGGTTATCCCATTTTTACTCAGGTATTTATTTGGTGATAAAAATGAGCTGGAAAGCCGGGCAGTGGTGGCACACACCTTTAATCCCAGCACTCGGGAGGCAGAGGCAGGCGGATCTCTGTGAGTTCGAGTCTGGGCTGGACCAATAGCCTCCAAAACAATACAGAGAAACCCTGTCTCGAAAAACAACAACAACAACAACAAAATGAGCTGGAAGGCCTTTGAAAGTTGCACTTAATCATCACAGAACCCTGACTTCTAATAGTTCTCCAAGGTTTTTAACCAGGATGCAATCCCATACCCCAGGCACATGGACTCAGTTATGCTTGGGACCAGTCCTGGCCAGTAAAAGGCAACTTCATTTTCATCTCCAGATCCCCAGACAGGGGTTGATGTGCATCCCTCTCTTCTTAGTATTATTGTACAAGATCAGCCTTACACCTGATCTCTTGGGTACCTAAGCTAAGGAACTATGCAGAGGGAAAGTATTATGCATCATCACAATGGGCACTGCATCACAAGATGAGGCTAGGTGACTTGTGAGGTATTAACTACAGGAGCACATATGACCCCAGTTCAGTTGCTCACTGATATTGGTGAAATGACAACTATAGAGACCAGTCTTCTGAAGAGATGCCAAGAAAGCTTCCTAGACGTTTGGGTTCTCTACCCCGCCATCCTCCTCCTGTTCTTCCTTCCTCTTATTGTTCAAGTTCTCTACATTTTGTGCCTACTCAGCCTTCCGCCTATCGACAAGCCACACAGATCAATTCCAATTCTGTTTTCTGGACTACTCATTTCCCTTCTATGAAGCATACAGCCATCTACTCCACTTTAACAGCCTGCTCACCCACCTTTTTCTCTGTTGCCAAAAGTTCCACTAAGTGTCCTGCTCTGATTTCTCATACTTCCTTTAATGACAACTTTCCTTCCACTCCTCCTAACAGCCCTGTTGAATCATTCCCTATTCTGTCATACCCAGAAAGAAGGTACCTGCTGTCTGCCAGACAGAATAAGACACATTTTGATCCCAGGAAGTAGATTTAGCAGGTAAGGGTGGAATTCCAGATTTTCATGACTGTGACTTCCTAACAGCCTGACCTGGAAAACACAGGATAGGCAGGATGGTGACACCAGTACTCACTATAGATCCTCTCAGAATTGGTTTATCTGCTGTCCATTCTCTTTACCAGGCTGTCACTGGGAGATACTGGAAGAATCTACGAGAAACCAATGTCTTCAGGAGACTACAGAGTCACCAGAAAACCATACCTTCAAAACATAACTTGGATAGCATTTTATGTGATTACTGGAAATCATTGTGGTCATAGGGTACACGGAAGAAATGCCTTGTGACATAAAGACTGTAAGTCAAGAAAGAAGCTAGCAATAAGAACTGAACAGTAACTGTAGTTTCATCTATCCTATGAACTGGGAGGCATAAGTGCAATGTAGATGGGCATAAGATACTGAGAGGTGGGGCCAGAGTAATTTTGTAGGATTCTTGGATTCTAAGTAGTTTGTGTGACTGTGGGAGAAGTTATATAGATGTTATGAAATTACTTCATGAGTTTGGAGTAGTTAATCAGGTAGTAGTTGCAATGTACTAGCAATTATAAAAAACAATGAAGGAGAAATTGAGGCATGACATACACAGATATGCATGGAATATACAGGTATGCATGTATAAAATTATTGTATGGAACCAATTACTTAAAAAATTAAATATTATTTTTGGTATTACCTTGTATTCCACAATGTATAAAGCAAAATGTTGTAGCAATATGAAAAGTCTGGAGATAAACCTAAGACAAGAGCTAGAGACTACATAAATAATAAAAAACGTATTTAAACATATTATTCATACAAAAAATGGCAGACAAGTTATGGTAGACAAAATGAGAGCACACTGTAGTGTAACTGCTAGTAAACTATTACAAGTAAAATGGTTTTAATTTTAAATGATAATAATTTAAGTTCATTGATTATATGACAGAGAGTTGAAATTTACTAGTCCATTCTACATGCTGTGTATGAAGAACTTATTTTAAATGAAGGCACATATGCATTAAAGTGAAAGGATGGATTGACCTTCCCATTAAAATTCTATCCTTCGTGAGCATATACTTCACCTTGCCAGAATGGACAGAACATTATATTCCTATTTATCTGTCATTCATCTAAATGCATCAAAGATAAGAAAGGCCTTTTAAGAGTCATTTAGCCATATTGGTGTGCTGACATTTCCAACTTTATTAATTCCTGCTTTAGAAATACTCACCAAGGACACAATAATTTGTCTATATCTCCAGTCTCTGTCAATTGTATTTTACCCAAAGAGCCTACGCTGAAACCCTGAATCTGTGCATTTGGTTGTCAAGTAGATCAGCGGAGGGTTGCACACTTCACGATGGGCATTCATTTAAGGGATGAAGTGAGGGGTGATCTGGGAGATGCATGTCACAGCAGGTCTGGTACAGGCTCAGCCACTCCCTGAAATACCAACTTTGTAGAGACTTCTACAAAGATGATAAGAACATTTCTGAGATTTTTCCCCATATCACCCCCTTCCATTCCCAGTGGTTTTCCTCTCTCCTTGTCCAAACTACATTTACTGTACTCCTTATCAGCCTTCTAGCTGTACATTTCTCAGTTTTCTGCTGCTTTACTGAATTCCTTGCCCTGAAGCATTCTTCCTCCCGCCCCACCACAATCTTCCATGACAAACTCTTCCTCTTTCCTTTCTTCTTCTAAACAACTTGCTAAATTACTTCTCATCTTTTGTCTTTTTTATCTTCTTTTGGTAACCACTCATCCCAACTCTTATTTGCTCATCCCTACCAAGCACCTGAGGCTGAGGGGGAAAAGGCTATCTGGAGAAACCAGTTTCTTGACTGATGATGTATTTCAGAATTTTCCAGTACTATGGTTTCATATGTTGACCATATCACCATAATAAACTCATACTGATGATTACTCAATCATCCTAGCCCCCATCCATTTCTTTGTTAACCTAGATATATCTGTCCATCACGAAAACCAGAAAATTTTCAATGAAACAAGTCCCCTAAGGACATGAGACTGCACAATACACAGTAAATGTGGGTCTTTGCACACACTGAAATGGCTTATCACCTGTTTCTCTAGCTCATTTAGGGTACAATTCAAAGACTAAGGAAAAACAACTGGCAAGAGACAATAGGTTTCACAAAGATTGAATCATAGTCCTTTGTAAATGTGCTTCATTCACCTAGTAAACATTGGTAAGTACAACATGTAAGCAAGTTTAGGAGGACATGATAGACTCTAGAATTGCCTGGATTTAAATATGGACTCTGATTACTACTATACTTGGTCAAGTAGTTGAGATATTTTATTACTTAATTTCCTTCCCATAAAAAGGAGAGATGACCAGAAGTGCCTCCTGGGTTTATAAGAGGTGAATGAGGTTTGAATGGTGATATCTAAAACAGTTCTTGTCACAGAAAAAAGGGCTAGATACATTTAGACTTGGTGTAGTAAGAATTGTTTGTGTGGCATGGGAGAATTAGGACTAAAACTGAATACTACAGAGATAAATACCAAGTTCCTAAAGTTGGTTTGGCTGGAAATAATAGTTCAACGCAGCCTGTTTTAGAGTTTTTACTAAGGCAGGATTGGAAGGTCAGGAGGGTGGGGGATGATAGAAATTATTTGGGTAACTAAATGGAAAATTTAGAAAAAATATGGTGACACACAATTTTTTTTTCATAGAAAATAAAGACCTGGTGGACATTTGGCAACTTTAACCTGTCAGCACATCTCATATCAATTTCAGCACATATGACAAGAAGTGCAGCCTTGGGTAGTCCATCAACAAACACAACTCAGACCCTTCTGGACACTTGAGATGGAGGTTTTCATCAGGACAACTTGAAAACTGTCTTTGTATAATCCATAACTATTCATTATTATGGATTTGGATATAGAGTCACTAATATTGGCATTACATAAAGAAACAATGTATACTGAGAACACTGATGATGGGATTGTGTAGTCATAAGATGTAAGTTGGAGTTTAAGAATGATGTGGTTGGTCAAAGATAGGCTTGATTTGATCCCATTGTCCATTATTCCGTGCTCTATTCAGACAGAATACTGCCAATATCAGTATGGACAAGCAGGAGGTCACACTCAAAGAGAAAACTGCTGCACATGTCACTTCATAACACTTGTTTCATATATGTCCTTTATAATAATTGCAGTGTACTTCCTATAAGATATATTCATATATATGTAGTGTTTCAGTTACTCATCCTTGTTTATTGCAGTACTATTCACAATAGACAAATAGCAGAATTAGCATAAATGGCCACCAATACATGAATAGATACAGAAAGTGTTGTATGTATGAAATGGTGTTGGGAGATGTCATTTTGTAAATATGTGTCCAATTGGTTTGAATAAAGTACTGTTGGCTAATAAGGAAGCAAGATAGGTGGGACTAAGAGTCAAGGAATATTCTGGGAAAGAGAGACACAGGCAGACAGGATGTAGGCCACAAGAGGAGTAAGAGGTTCAGACCCTTTTCTCCAGTAAGAGAAATACTTAGATTAACAGTTATGGGATAAATACTTAAGTCAGAGCTAGCCAGTAAGAAACCAAGCAAACGGCCAACAGCTTCATAATTAATATAGCTTACTGTTTGTTCATTTGGGACTGGCGTGACTCTGAACAGGCTAGCGGGAAGACTCCACGTTACACAATGGAGTTTGATTCAATCCCAAAGAGCAGTATTTTACTTAGAGGGAAATGCATGGAATTAGACAACATCATTGCTAAGTATATGTACATACATGCACATATGCACATATATAACATGAAGTAGATAAGGGACACAATTCAGGAAGAGAAATAAGGCAGACAGGTGGGAATGGAGTAAAGTAAAGAGTAATTGGGACTGAATATTATCACATCACATGGAAAACATGAATAAAAATGTCATAAAATTTACCAATTAGACAACAAATATGCTTTCCTAAAATTTTTCCAATAAAAATAATACCCTTGTTTGGTGTATGACAATTTAAAGGTGAATGCTAGAAGAAATCAAAAGAACTAGTTACATTTTTTATTTCTTTCATTCCCTCTTTTAAGTGTGTATTTTCTCTTTTTGGTAAAAAATCCTTTTTCAGGATAGTAATTAGAAAAGAAGGAAAGTGAAGAGAAGGAAAACAGTACAGAGGAAGAGAGTAAAGAAATGGCTTGGAGAAAGACATAAAAGCAAAGAGCATAAAGTATACAATTCATAAGTTTCCTTAAAATGTCAAGACAACCCTTATTGGATGATGACATGTGGGCACTGGCCTAAAGATGGGGAGTGAAGGAGCCACAAACATAACTAAGGGTAAATAGAAAATCCTAGGTAGATGGAAACATTTTAAAACTATTTCTATAGTCAGAAATTTATTTGATGTGTTGTGCAAACATGCAAGATACCAAAATAATTGAAGAGGCATCTATAGTATAAAGTGTGGGGGTGCAAGCAGCCAGAGACAGAGCTTTACAGTCTACCAACAGGACTGACGCTTGCTATCAAATAATTTTCATCAACCACATAAGAGGTATATTGTTTCAAAAATCAACCTGAGGTAAAGTAAAGGTAAGTAAGAGTTTAGTTGGCCAAAATTCCACAGAGCATTTAGTCGACAGGGTCCTGGTTGGCTTTGAACTGAATGATCTGGCTCATGTTTGGTTTTGCAGCTACTCTTATCATGTCAAGAGGAGAACATGATGTGATAATCTGGTTGATAATGAGAAGTCAGGAGTCTATGGAGACAGTCCAGAGAGAGAACAACAGAAACTTGAGTGGTAGAAGCAACAGGGCCGAGAAGTGGTTAGCTTGGATGACATCACTGGATGTGGTTAAAAAAAAACAGGAGAAGAACTGAAGATGACTAAAATTTCCATCTATGGGACAAGGAGAGACATCAAATGAGGAGAAGCTAGATAAGCAGGAGTGGGGTATAAGATGAGGAATTTCTTAGGTTGTGTGAACTTGATATATACATAGTTAACATCCCAAATGTGTATGTCACAGAACTTGAGGTACACGTTTGAGAGATGGCAGTCTTGAAGCTGTTGGCGCATAAATAGTGCTCCAAATGGAGGACAGTGTGGGCTCTCTTAGCAGTGGCTACTACAGAGAAACGAAGGTGTCGAGAAGGAGGTGGAATGTGCCATAAGCAAAAGGAGAGGAAGGAAAAGCAGAGGTGAGTGGGAGAATAAGAACTTTTAGAAAAGCATGGGAGCTGCCTGCAGTTTTGGACAGGTCACAAGAAGAAGAATGAATGAGTGAATTTTTCAGTAAACCAGGAGCACAGTTTAGGAAAAGCTGTGGCTAAAGAGGGGTTATGCATAAAATTGCCCGAGCTGGCAAAAGTTGCAAATATGCTGCAAAAGAGAATTGCACTTTCAGAACATGATGTGATTTTAAGGAAATTCTTAGAAAATATCAAAATTGGCTGCCATCCCAAAATATACAGACTTTGTGATTTTTCTATTATTTCTGCAGATATTTATGATGTGTCTACTAAATAAAAAAAAGAAGGAAAATGTGCTGACAGACTTTCCAGGCTTACAGACACTGTACCAGCCTGTTTACACACTGGCAAAAGAAATGAGATCTACCAGAAAACTGTCATAGACAGGCCAGACATGATTTAAGATCAAGGTTTTAAAGGTATAGACTTAAAAAAAAGCAGTTTCAGACACCCTAATTTGAGTTTCAATCACAGGAGATATTATGTGGTTCCTATCATAGCCTACCCTTATTTAGATGTTACCTATAGACATAGTGTTTGTTCTCAACAGTTTCCTTTGATTCACATGCTGATTAATTTTAGCAGGAAGAAAGCAGAGTCCCACCTCCCCCAAAATACTAACTAGAATGATATTCATTCTTATTCTTATTGATCTCAAATAGCTAGATGCCTATCTGAGAGCAATTGCCATGGCTGGGGAAGGGTGGGGACATGTATATTTCATTAACTATGCGTAACTATGTGCCAAACACACATGAGCTAAAGGCATGGTAATATGGAACTATGACAGATTATAAGAAAGAGGGAAAATCCTGTACAGGGCTTATACATATATGTATGTATGTAAACATAGCATATATATGTATATATGTATTATTAATCAACATAATAAAAGAAGGTACCCAGAGGGTGTAACATTTGGATTTGTCGCTGAGAGGTAATGAAAATAAAATATTACAGGAAAAAGATGAGATTCTGGGTTAATATATTATAAATCAAACTAACAGTGCTAAAAACATCTTGTGTGTGGGGGCATTCATGTACATGGTGTATAAGGAGGGTAAAAACCTAGAATACAATGTATTTCTATTAATAGGAATAGCTTGGAATTTAGAGGTAAGATAATATACTATTTAGAACATAATCAGAAAACAATTAATACAACCCATGTTATATGTTGATTGTTTTTAGGACCAGATCTAGGAACTTTCACTGTTTGAGCTCTTAATGTTCTTACACTTGAACATCCTAAAAATGTTGATGTTTGTCCTCTGCCTTCATAATCTCAAACACAGACAAACACAATGAGTTGCTTTTTATGCAGTTTTCTAAGAAAAAACATTTATATACATCCTTGTTCTACCAGTGAGAGTTTAGGTCCAGGAAACACCACACTTCCCAGACACCCAAATCCTTCAGATAGTTGAAAATTATGTTTTAAGTATGACCCATGCACATCATTCTATATATTTCCAAATCACTTCTATGTTAGTTATGATACTCAATAAAATATAAGTGTTCTTAAATGATTACAAGTTTAAAAGTGTTTTTGTTTGGATTAACAGAGGTAAAGTTCATGACTATGGAAGGGAAACTGTTTAAAAACTTCCTTAGTGAGCTTGTGTGGAAGTTATAGCCCAGACACTCACATCCCTCAACCAAAGACTGGTGTGAAGCGCTCTCTCTCTCTCTCTCTCTCTCTCTCTCTCTCTCTCTCTCTCTCTCTCTCTCTCTCTTTCTCTGTCTCCATATATATATATAAATTAGTATAATTAATATAATTTAATTTGTTGTATTACTTTAGACATTTGAATTAATATATTTACATGCATTTAACACATATTTTAAATATTGAAATAGAAGTATTGGAATACTCTAAAATCTTGAATTGATAATTTCTAAGCCAACAAATAAGAGAAGATACGATGTGTAGAACAAATTTTGCCACATGGGGTCACCTCCAACTATATCTTGAATTGAAACATTTACCTTTTATTTTGAATTTTTACTTTTGACCAATAAAAATGGAAATTGAATTACATCATTTTCTCCCCTCCTTTTATCCCCTCCCAGCGACTCTCCTTCAAACACATTCCATACTGTTTTCTACACTCAGGTTAATACTCTCTTTTTATTTTCATTTCATATAGGTATGTGTCTTCATACACACGTGCACACACTCACATGCACAAGCTTGCATACACAGCTTGCTGAAGTTTCTGTTTCTTGGTTTGTATATGGTTTCAAGGCTGGTCATTCTGTGTTGGACAGCTGGTATGGAGGCTTATTCAGGGGAGAGTCCAATTCTTCTCCCAGCAGTCATTCATTACATATAGGCATTTTTTAAGGGTGGGATCCTGTGAAATTATTCCCCTTCTATGTTAACATGTCCATTGATGTTGCCATTTTCCAGTCTTATATATGCAGCCATATAGGAGAGGTTATTTCACAGCCAATATATTATTGATAAAGGTTTTGGTTGCCTCTCAGGGCTTGTAATCCTCCATAATTCCAGAAAATATTTTGTGAACTATCGAGGGAAGGAAACAATTGAAAAGCCCTACCAAGCTCTGTCATACCTATACACTATCACGATGACCAGCATGGCAAGATATGCACAAATGTGCAGTAGTGACACTCACACATCTGAGGCAACCAATAGCTCCCTTACTGGACCTAAACTCCACTTGACATCAGGGAGATCA